AAATTAGAATGACAGACAATCTGGAGCGCAGTTGACTCCTTCAGATAGGTACATTTCATCGAATTTTTTCATGATTTCATAGGCACTTTCGCAATCACTCACATATTCCAGATGTCTATCAGGAATAGCACTGTAAATGAAGTTTGTAGCCTTTACATCCATGTGCTCCCAGTCCTCTTTTTCTTTCTGCTTCTTTTTTCCTTCCACTGTCACTTTGCACTTTTTGAACTCCAAAAATTTCAAAACGCGCTTTTTCCAGTTTGTGTATAAATTACCGTCGAAAATGGGTAACATAACATCGTCACAAAACATTTACGAAACATCATTAAAAACGTTTCAATAAATATTTCTTAGATATATTGTGACAACGTTGTTAAACATTATTAGTCAGGGAGAAATACGATTTGACCCGGAACAAATTGCTTAACAAATTTTTCCTATGTAAACATCATCAGTAGGTCCTCCTGAACAACATACCAAAAGTTTACCACGGTCCGACCCGGAACACCCCCCAAAATGCCTAAATTTCAAAATGGCGGCCATAATAAGGCCTCTGGGATTTCGGTTTTGTAAAATGCGCATACAGTGTCATGTGAGGTATCAATCCCTATGTAATTTTGGTCGTAGAACTCAGATATGAGATCAGGCAGATGATGTGCTGCAAAGCGGAGGGGACACTTTTACACTGTTTCAGGTGTTCTCCTTTCTGTTGTTTCTCAATAGATGATTTTCTCCAATCAATATAAAGGAATGCGCCCTCATACAATGTTGCAAAAATATGTATTTGTATATGCGAAAATAAAAAAAAAATTAATTGATAGATTTTCTTGTTGGACACCAAACTCTCACGGAGCCCAAATACCGAAACCGATACGTTGTTCCTTTTCTCGAATTTGACAATGTCATCTATGCTCGTGGGGAATCGAACGTCTGAGAAATCGTAATGATTGAACAGATCTAAATATTTATCCGGACGATATTTATTCTGCGCATCCTTCGGGACGAACTATCCCAACATTGCGAACAGGAAACAATCGTTTAATGCACCGTTAATTACATTGACAACATGTTTCATTGAAAATGGCACCTTAACATAGGTTCCTCCTCGATGTAACGCGTAATAGCGGTTGACACGTAGCTCCATACCTTGTATCTTCTTCAGCACCCACCCGGATCCGTTCATGTGAAAATCGAATGACTCTTTACTGATCTTGGCCCTGAACTTTTCATAATACTCGTCCAGATCCGTTGACGCGAAAACAGCTTCATTTTTAGTCTTAAACTTTTTCAACTGCATTCTTTCCTTGTCCTCATCGTCAACTTTCTCGCATTCAGCGTAAACTAGTATATTAACCTTCAATGCCTCGCCGGTGAGTTCTTCTTTAATTTTTCCAATCACCAGGTCTTTAACTGTTAGTAGGTAGTCATCGATGATGAGAATCTCCGGTTGGAGGTTTGTGATGAAAAATGTTTTCAACCTGCTTTGACAAGCAGTCTCGACTTGAACAATCGGTACTTTAGTCTCAAACAAATTTCTTATGTGACTTGCAGACTCTTCATGTTTTCCTCTTTTATGGTATGAGATCTTGCACGTGTCACAATATTCTTGATTCTCATCGTTGTTGTCATCGGCAGGTGATGAGGTGTCCTTCATGGTGGACATCTTTTTAATGTGTTCGGGAGATTGCTCATGATTCTCTTCCTCCGCATAAAACTCATCACAAAGATCACAATGGATGAGCGCGTTGTGCTCCTGTTTAATATGCGTTTCATCGTTGACACCCTCCTCCTTCTTAATTTGTTCCGTGCAGTGTTCGTGCTTTTCACCTTGTTTATAAAATTCATCACAAATATCACATTGGATGAAAGTTTCAACATTCTGTTGTGCTTGTTCTTGAGCAGCCATGATAAAGATACTATTTTAAGCTCAAAGTCTTCCGAGTCGGTCAGAAAAGGGAATCTACACTATCTTTACGTTTGCTAGATTCTGTTCACTGAGAAAATTTCATAGCGAACAACTGGTACTATTTTAAGCTCTAAGTTTTCTGAGTTTGTCACAACAAAAAATCTACACTATCTTAACGTTTGTAAGAATCTGTTCATCGAAAAGATTTTAGAGTGCGAACAAAAGTGAATACTATTTTAAGCTCGAGGCTCTCTAATGTCATCAAAACCGAGACCGACGAACTTTCGCTTGGAGACAAATCTACAGTTTTCATACCGAGCGAAAAGAAACTGTAAAGTCATAATTTACCTCAGAGTAAATATAGTAGAAGTATTCGTTCACCACCAAACTCGGTTACACTCGGACAAACTGTAAAGCCATAATTTAGATCAAAGTAAATATAGTAGTAGTATTTCTTAATCGCCAGATTCGGTTACACTGGGACAAACTGTGTAGTCCTAATTTAGATCAAAGTAAATGTAGTAGTTGTAAAAGTAGTAACATACGCTGACCTGTACATTACCTAAAAATAAAATGTCTGCCCTTCCATTATCCGAATGTGCAATTAGGTTTGTGAGTTTTGAAGATTGTTTGTTCATGAGTTTGTATGAAATACCATTTGAGATGGAAAAAAGTCTCAACAACCAACTTGTTGAGACATTATATTTACGAGTGGACCCTATTCATCACAGCAGGCGCAGCCACGTGTGTGACTACGCGTGCGTGCGTACGTTAGAAGCGATTCTGAACACTCTCAAATATGAATTGCGTGGTAAACCCGCATTTTATCGGTGTTTTATGAGTGGTTTTTGTAAGTGGGCTCTAACACATTTGTGCACCAAAAATCTCATTTCGTTGTATATGCAAACCGAATTGCTGCTACTCGACTGATGAGTAAGTTTCGCGGAAAGGATTCAAAAAATACTCATTTTCAACCCTTACCTATGTGAACTGTTCGGGACCTTAAACTCAATCGCAGAGGTTAGGTTCAGGCATGTGTTCAGGGCACTTTATGACTCTGTATTAACTTCATGAAGCTTCCAGATAACTTTCATATGAGAAACCAAGAAAAACCAGGCCTTTGTCAAATGATTGGGTTTGGACGCGAGTTACAACAGTTGGATCGACAGTAAGGATTTCGTATAAATAGTAAGCATTCTCTTCTCAGTATCGCAAGGAAGAAATCATGATCGATAAAATAATTCTCATCACTTTCATCATCATCGTAACCATCGTTGGAGACAATTCCACAGTGGCGGTGGAAAACTCATCCGAAGCAAACATCACAATGTGCCCGGTCTATCCGGAAATGAAATGCGCACCCTCTACCTTGACGGACGTTCTTCTATTCATCTTGAGTTTATCGGCGCTCATTTGCTCCGCTCCGTACCTGTACTCCAAGTACCTATCATCCGACTGTAAGTTCCGTTTCATCAGAATGTCCCATAAAAATAACAATCGGAAAGTCGATGACATAAGTGTTGGTTTGAACTTCGGAGAAGGAGAAGGGATCGATGTTTATGGTTGACAACCCTGACGTTTTTTAAACGCGTACGTTTTCTAAACGCGAACTGTTTTAAACTGTAACAGTAAATTTACACACAAAAAAAAGTAAAAATTTTTGATTCATCAAACTGAACATTGCAATATCCAATCCCAGTTGCTCATCCCAAAACATAAGGTTCTGATACGCATCTCCAAGCGCACACTACTAAAAATTGAAATTCCCGAATCAGACCCTACTCTCCAGTCACCGATACCAGGCCCATACTGGAGGATATGGTCTATAGATGCCGCCGAAAATTTTACAAGTCCGAAATCTCGAAAACAAAAAGTCGTATCAAAATTCGGTCCGTACAGTTTTCCGATCATCGATAGTGTAAAAGAATCGCATCGGTCCGCGGCGGATCGGAGGAGGGTGATTTTCCGAAAATTTTTTAATTTCCCGAATCAGACCCTACTCTCCAGTCTCCCATACCAGACCTATACTGGAGGAGACGGTCTTTCGAAGCCGATAATTTTTACAAGTCCGAAAATCCAATTTTTTTGCACAATCTGACATCATTGTATCGAAAAAAAACCTAATTTCTTGCACCATCTGGCAACACTTTAAAATTCAACGTTGCAAAATTTCACCCATAAATAAATAATTTATTTAAGTGCACCGTCCGACAACGCTGTTGCATAACCGCCATCTTGAGGAATACACCATTGCATAACCCGCATATTGAAGGGGCAACATACGATCCTCTCTTTTTTACAGCGTTGCCATATTGAATAATACTCGCCATACAACACTGTAATTTAAATCGTATTTTTCTGCACCATCGTGCAACGCTGTCGGATAATTTACTGTTCTAAAGTCCTCATTTTCATACTACTATCGTGATTTTTGAGACATTTACTGATAGAAACAACTCTTATTTTTGCTCTAGCAAAAGTTTTCAACAGGCCCATTTACACTTAATTGGTTAAATCGATATAAAATAGTAAATTGACAAAAAATTCGAGACCCTTGAGCCACGACTGTTCAAGAATTTTTTTTTTTTTTTTTTTAAAAAAAAAAATCACCAATTTTAAAAAGGTAACTCTAGAAAACTGTGAAAATGATCGTTTAAAGAAACCTTTTATGGGTCATTTTTAAGTAAAATTTAAGTAAAAAGACAACTTTACCAACTTTTTGGATTTCAACTGTAGTTTTAAACACTAGAAATTTTAGAAAAGAATGTTAAGTAAGAACTCTTTGAAAAATTGGCTACTTTTTAAAAATACTTTTTAGAGTAAATTTCGCAATGAATTAAATTTCACTTAAAAAAATGTTTCCTAAAACGTACATTTTAACAATTTTCTAGGAAGCTTTTGAAGATTAATTTTTCAACGTCGTTACTATAGTATGCTTAAATATCTCACAACTAAAGGATGTTCATAAATGAAAGTACATCGAATTTAGATAAAGATTAAATTCCAGAATGAATTTATTCTTTATTTATTTATTTACAAGACAGAGCAAAATAATAATTGTTTGGGTAGAAAAAAAAATAAAGTTAGAACTGACCAGTTCTTCCTCTTTCCACTCTTCTTCTTTGAGTGCTAGTTCATCACGCATTGATTCCCAATCTGCTGTTAATTTTTGCAAGTCCATAGTTAAAGTTTCATTGCTTTGGTGAGCCTCGTCAAGCTGAGCCTCAAGAACTTGGTTGAGTTCCAACAGTTTATCGGTCCTGTCGAAGGGAAAAAAGTAAACAGAAGAATTATTGAGGCGAGTTGAAATGAAAGAATAATGCACACTTGAAATGATAGTAAGAGAGAAAATGAACAGGGATATGGACAGAGTTAAGAAATTTCAAGAAAGATTATAAAAAGAAATTTCATGGGGAAATTTCATGAAATTTCATGGGGAAAAAAGAAATTTCATGAAATTTAAGAAATTTCATGGGGAGGAAAGAAATTTCATGAAATTTCTTGTGAAATTTCAAGAAATTTCATTCGATGAAATTTCTTTTAGCAACTCTGGATATGGAGATATTGCAATTACAGTACACGCTTGCAACTTATGAAATTGATAATATTTTGGAAAATTATTTGTGGTCCTAAATCTACACAATTGAATGAGAAGAAATGTATGTTCAATCATTCTTTTTAATTCCAGCACGTGTTAAAAGTGTCAGCAACATTCATGATTTTCTGACATTTTACCTTTCATTGACGGAAGGAACTATTATTCTATACTTATAAAAGCTAGCCGTTCGGTTCGTTCTGGACGCACGAAGCGCGTTCAGAACAGCTTGCCAAGGGGCTGTGCCCCCTGGACCCCCGGTCACTCACTATGCGAGCCATACTTCTGAGTGGTTGGACATTTGGACGTGTTTCTGCCAAAAGGAACTATGCGCATTCAGACATGAGCCCTGAGACCCATAAGAATATAACTATAACAGGGCTCACGTCATAATGCACATAAGTAGTTCCGTTTAGCAGAAATACGTCCATTTGATCACTATGATGTATAAATTTTGGAGAATCTGAAGACAAAAATGATTTTGTCACAGACCCTTGTTACCAGGCGTGCCATAATTTGCACATCTACACTATAAGCTCCCTGGTAAAAATAAGCCATAGAGGCGATAGAGAAATCTTATGGCCGTCTGTTGGATTTTCTATAGCTTTTATAGCTGGCGATAGGATTTTCTTATCGCCCTTATGGCCGGCGATAAAAAGCTCTATCGCCACGAATGGCTGGCGATAGAAGGCTCAATCGCCGGCTATAGCCACGAATGGCCGGCGATGGAACGTTCAACCGCCGGTTATAGCCACGAATGGCCGGCGATAGAACGTTCAATCGCCGGTTATAGCCACGAATGGCCAGCGATAGAACGTCCAATCGCCGGCTATAGCCACGTATGGCTGGCGAGAGAAAGTTCTACAGCCGGCGATAGAAAGTTCTACAGCCAGCAATAGCCACGAATGGCCGCGATAGAACGTTCTGCAGCCGGCGTTAGCCGTGAATAGTCAGCAATAGGACATTCAATAGCTGGCCACTTGTGGATAACGGCAATAACCATCCGCTGCCAAAACAGCCATCTGTAGCCGGCAACAGAATGTTCAGTATCCGGCGATTGGAAATACGCGTGTGCACGAGGGGCAATTAAAAAAGTAATTTTTTTCGAAAATCATCATAAGCGCCAGTGAATCTATCCTGGTTTCTTTTTTAAAAATATTTTTCTTCAATTTTCTCTCAATAATTCTTACTTTTCCAAAATTTGATTTGATTTTGATTTTTTTTTATTTGAATCGGCCATATACACTGTTAAAAATCGTTGATTCCGTCCAACGGAAAATCCGGATTGAGAATGAACAGGGGAGTGAGATTCAGCGCATAGGTGCTGAGATGTGTCGCATGAGTGCGCAAAGCACTCAGCACCGGAGCTTCAGTTGGGCCCTAAGTCACGCGCACCTAGGCTATCTCTCTCTCGCACTAGCGCTCTATACTGTCTCTTCTTCCCTTTAGGCCTACCAATCCAATGATGAAGATGAAAAATTTAAAGTTTAAATAAGTAAAATAATAGAATAGAATAGTGGAAATAATAGAGTAGCAGAAATAATAGAATTACAGAGACAACAGAAGAGAAATCAAATAAAGTAAATTAAATATATGATAAAATGAAGTCAAAGACTAAATTGAAGTAAAAAATTAGAGGGAGCAAGGAGATGAAGTAAAAAAATGAGGTGAAGAAAAAATAAAGTATAAGGGAAGAAACTAAATGAGGTTAAAGAATAGAATGAATTTAAAAAGTAAACATGATGAAGTATTAAAATAAATTACAGTAAAAAATAAAACAAAATAAGGGAATAAGAAGTAAATATTTTAAGAAAAAAAATGAAGTACTTGAAAAAATAAAATAGAGTGAATAAAAAAATAGAGTCAGCAAGGAAATAAATCAAGTAAAACGATAAAATAAATTTAAAAAATATAGTAAAGTAAAAAGTAAAATAAATACACGGACAAATCCAGGCAGATTGAAAATATCCTAGTTTCCCGTTCAAATCGACGTTAAATATCGGTTTTACGTCACATGAAGGCAGCATCTGGTATAGCTTAATGGTTAGGGTCTTCGGTTTGTGTTAGGCAGGTCCCGGGTTCAATCCCTAAGGTAGGTAAAAATGTGTAATCTTCAAAATCGGGTAAATTACGTCCCAATAGTTTCATTATTATTATTTTTCATGGTTTCAAAATTTATTTCCACAATTAACCCTTTTCCACCATCCCCTAGCTGCGAACCCCTAAATTTTCTATAGCCGGCGATTGAGAATTCCTACAGCCAGCCATAGGAATTCTCAATCGCCGGCTATAGAAAATTCCTATCGCCAAAAGGCCATGTTTCAATTTACCATAGGATTTTTCCTATGGCCGGGCTATAGGTAATTTGTATGGCTTATTTTTACCAGGGCTCCGATACCTCCTAATTTTGCATAACTGGTAACGCTTAGTTCCAGCGTTCTTCCGGGCCGACTTTCATGATTTTTACGACTATCGACGGCTAATTGTCTCTAGATGAGTCCGTACGATTCAGATTTTCAAAATACGACCCAGGTTTTTTTATATTACGTAGTAAAGTTGCGAATTCTCCTATTTACTTAAACAATGTAAAATGTTTTTTGTCATGGTTCATTTGAGCGTTCTACTGGGCCGATTTCCATGATTTTTGCGGGTATCGGGCGGTGATAGGCCATAACTGATGAGCCCGCTCTTATCAGATTTTGGAAATAGGACCCAGGTTTTTTTTTTACGATCACGTTATAAAAGTGAGCAAATTTACAGAATACCTACTCAGCGACTGCTGCCGCTTTGCGCAGAGGGTTCCGCAGGTTGACTTCAAATTTTTTATTCTTTTTCATACAAAAACAAAAATCATTCTTTTCGGTTAACTGGGTAACACAGAACAGATGATCAGCGGTAGACCGACCAGCCCTAAAACCTGCTTGCTCCTCCGCCTCGAACGGGGTCCACTCCTCTTCGATCTTCGCTTTCAGCACTTTTCCATATATTTTACTTATCGTTCCTGTCACCGCTAACCCTCTGTAGTTCCTACAGTCATCCTTCCTTCCTTTTTTATGCGACGCTGTTATCCAGGCCTCTTTCCATTCTTTCGGGATGTCATCACCATCTTCTTCATCATCACTTCTGCAGCAAATCCCTGAGATGGTTAACCAACTTGCCAGTCCCACATTTAATTAACTCGGCTGGAATGTTTCCTGGCCCAGGAGCTCTTCCATTCATCAATTCCCTGATTGCTTTGACCACCTCCTCAACTCGAATTTCCATTGAGTGATCCTCGACTATATTTTCAGCATTCCCCGTTTGAAACTCTGGTCGTCCTTCCGTCAATAATTTACTAAAATGCTCTTCAAGCTGTGAGATTGTTATTGGAGATATAATGTCCCGTTTCATGTCCCTTCTTAGGCCTTTGATCAGCTTCCAGCTCTCAGCACTCTTCCTTCCCTCCAGGTATGTGTCAATCCTTGAGTAGTTGTTCTCCCAAGACTCGTTTTTCTTCCTGGTGATTAAAAGACGAACCTTCGCCTGGGCTTTCCTATACCTACGCGCCGCGGGTGTCTGCAGTCCTAGAAGCCAGATGGTCATGGTACTTCCTACGCTTCTCTTCAATTACCTCCTCTACCTCTTTGTCCCACCAGTAGGGTTTCTGTACATCCTTACTCTCATTACACATACCCAGGGCTTCCTTCGCAGCTGAATGTATACAACTTTTGATGAACTGGTACAACTCTTCTGCAGTATCGAAAGTTTCTACTCCCAGTTTCTCATCCAGCCGCTTCCTGTAGAGCGCTTTCACGCTTTCATGCTGTAAGCTATCGATGTTGTAGTGCACTTGTTCGATCTTCGTTCCTTGTGGCTGGCACTTCTGATGTTGCAAGGTATTCCTCTGCAGCCCATACTTAACCGGAAATGCAATCTCAGCCTTGAGAAAATGGTGATCACTACCACAGGAGAACCCCTGGCAAACTCTTACTTGTTGAACCTTCATGGTACTCGTTTGCCTGGTGACCGCGTAGTCGATGATTGACTTCAGCCCCCGAGTTTGCTGAACCCATGTGTACTTATGGATATCTCGATATTAGTAGAATCCGTTCAGTATTTTCAACTCGTTTTGTTCACACATATCAATGATGCGTGCACCATTGTCATTCATCGCCTCTTCACCGAAAGGTCCAACAACTTTAGAACCATTCCTTCGTCCGGTTCTACCATTCAAATCTCCCATGATAATGACCTCCCTTGTCCTTCCAACCCTCAGAACCTCGTCGTTGAGTTGCTCAAAGAACTGATCCTTTAGATTGACGGGAGCATCATCATTCACACCATATACTCCTAACAGGGACACCTTGTGACCATGCAGTGTAAGATGCATTCTGATGCTCCGCTGGTCTACTGTTTCCCAAGTAGTTATAGACGGACGCAAACTTTTCCGGATAAGTATGGCGACTCCTTGCTGTGCACGTTGATCTTTACTGACACCACTATAGAACAGATCATAACATCCTAAGTTTTCTGATCCTGTGCCTTTCTTTTTCGTTTCTGTTAACACGGCGACATCTACATTATACTTTTTTACCTCCGATATAACCTCGGTCAATTTATTAGAAATGCCCTGTACATTCCATGTCCCAAAAACCATCGTCCTTTTCCGTAGTTTGTGTCGCAAAATCCGTTTTTTTCCATTATCACCGAGGCTATCTTTATTAGGCTTTTTAACATTAAGTTTTTTCCGGGTATCGGGGAGTTAGCCCGATGCCCCAACCCCCAACCTGGAGGACCAGGGTTTGCTTTTGGAGTACCGTCTCCTAGACAGGCTGCTTTCACCACAGCTATGAGCCCTGTCTGCCCCTCTGATGAGTGGTTCATACGCCATGAAGCCGGTGACCATCTCCACCCCCCTTTGAGGCATGGGCTACCAGCTGGGGTCCGCAGGATTGCTAAACCTGTGACAGTACTGAGTACAGTCCCCCATACGGCCCAACGGTGGGTAGAGGGCATCCATGAAGAGGTGGAGAGATGCCAGCTTCCGGAGGATCTCTACCATGACAGATTCCTGTGGAGAATAGGCGTTGCAGAGCGCCCTAGCGCGCCGTAAAAGCGGCTCATACAAACATACACATACATACAAAAATCATTTCGTTCTCAAAAGGAATATATACCTCATATCGTATTTTCTTAGGGGGAAAATAAAACCAACAGTGATAAAAAGCTAAAAGAGAAAGACGCAAAGATAAAAACCGGAAACGAAAGAGAATTTTAAAAAAAATATAAATGAACTAGGGGGCCCTGCCCCCTGACCGCTACGCGGCCCAACCCCCGGGAGGGCGCCTCGCGCCCTCAGGCCCGCCTCGCGGGCCCTATACGCAAATGTATAGGGAAAAATGTTCTTCCATTTTAATACACCATTCTGTGTTCGAGCTGCATCGATTTCAAAATTTTTGACGTAACACTCAGATTTTTAAATGATGAGGAATAGCTGGATGTACATAATTTCACAGTCCACTTACTGGAAAAATTTCTATTTATTATGTTATTTTTAAATACTTAATTTAAAAAAAATCTGATTTCGACCGTTAAGAGTTAATAATATTTGGTCCGTCCCGACGCGACGCAGCGCCTGCCTTTTCACTTTGTATCTGCTGTTCATCTGCTGTAAATATTAATAGAAATTCTGCAATCAAGTATATTGACCAATGCCACAATTCTAAGCCGGAAGAATGCAGGAAAAATTGAGTTAAACCTTATACCTTGGACCTTGAATCTTGAACCCTGAGCGATGCACCGTTCCTCAACTCTTCGAATGAATAGCCCTTCACGAGCTTTTCCATTGTTTTATTGTTTATTCGAGTCACTCAGGTAGAATCCCACACCTTGACGTTTCTAGCGGAAACGACATATCTCTCACGCTATTAACATTGGACATAAGTGACATGAGCTTTAAAAGCTCTACAACATTAAAAGTTCGGGGTTTCATAATTTTTTGCACATCTACATCTACTACAGATAACATACATGTAAAGATCATCCTTATCGGTCTGCCAGTTCGTCAGAAATAGTGCTTCCAAGATTTTGCTTGTAGCTGTGTAATATAGATCAAGAGAGAGATAAATAAAAAAAATGAAAATAAAGAAAAATTAGACAGCGTTTATAGTCTATTAGGCTCTTACTACTTCCGTCAAGAAAGTTTTGCCAAGATTTATTAAACAAATATTAATGCCGCGGCGATACAAAAAGCGGCCCCTTGATGGCGCGAAGGGCCTTTCGGGGGTTGAGCCGCGTAGCGGCTAGGAGGCGTAGCCTCCTAATTGCCTCCTAATAAATATATGGAGATGAAGCAGTGATGGGGACCGATCATTTCTTCAAAGACGCATTTGACTGTGACGTCAGTCCCATCGGATGGAGGAGAGTGACAACCGTGGATCTCCCTCCGCGATTTGACTTTATTATCGGTGGAGTAGGGGTCTAAAAACTGCTCAACGATAATATAGTTCGAGTTCTGAATCGCTATGAGCCCACTTATGTGTTTCACATACTTTCATTGCACATAAACATCTCTGATGTTTTTGTTTTATTCTCTCTGATTGCAAGTAATTATATCCTCATTTCGTTTCCTTCCCCTTTCATTTTTTCCTCTTTTGGAGCATTTGTGTCTATTTACAATTATTATCTTAAAATAGCTCTCCCTAGAATACATTTCCCGCTTCAAACGGAACCAATTTGTTTTAACGACATTTCCGGCTAAATCATGGGTTTTCCCGGGAAGGCAGCCTATCTTCCCTCCCGAACTCTACAGTTGCCAGATGAGTTGATTTTTCGGCACAAACCCGTGTAGGGCTTCAGCAAATCCATGTATAATATTCACATTTATCGCACTATCTGGCAACTCCTCGAGTGAGATAGAAAAAGGTGGAATCCTTCCACTCTTATATTAATGATGATACCCCTAAATAACATTTATGGACTAAAGCTGACCGTATCTATCCTCTCATTTTTGCAGTCGGACAAATTCTGTGAAATGGAATCGGTCCCTTACTTCGCTGGGAATTTGAACAGGAATTTACTCATTTTAGTATTCCATATGTAGTACAAATGCCAAAACGGAAGCTAGGCAGTGCAAACCTCATTGACAAGAACAAAACTAAGAGCATGACTATGAGTCTTGCTAAAAAAGGTTATTAAATTAGCAACCAGTTTTTTTCTTCCTATTCACCTTCTCTTTTCTTCATTTAGTCGTAATAAAGCAGTTTCAAGGTCCTGAACTCTTTCCTCTTGCTCGTGTAAAAGTTTGTGTGCAACTTCAAGTCTTGTAATAGGTTCTTCTCTGCGCTCTTCTAGTTCAGCACATCGTTGTTTGTATTGCAATACCTAGGGGGGAAAAAGTAAGTTGATTATACTTGATGAGGTTCAACAAGGTTTATCAATAAAACTAAGTAGTTGAAACAAGTTTCTTGGAACAATTAGTGTGAATCGGAAAAGTAAAACTGTCTTCAATGAAAGAAAGAAACAAAGAAAAAAAAAAGTATGAAAAAATACCGAACGTAAGAAAGAAAATAGAGAGAAAAATATGCTTCGCAAGTTTTTTAACTTAACTAGAAAATGAGATTCCCTGACCATTTTTTACATTTTATGTACCTACGAGAAATTTCTATACACAACAGGGAAAAGTCACCTACCACCCCTGTAACTTTTTTCTTAAATGACAGAAATTTGAACCTTTGGGGATGTTCCTAGGTCTAAAATACGCTGCAACTTTTGGCCCCCAAAATTTTGGGGGCGGCCCCCTCTGAGGGGGCCGAGGGTCAACTTTTTCTGACAAATAGTAACCCCCATTTTGTGACACTCGTACGAAAAACAATAGGTAGGGAAAGAAAAATTTTGGAGCGAACCGCGGGTCAAAATTTCGATTTTTCGGAAAATGACGACCAGTCAACGTTCAAAATAACGGGAATGGCTTCTCCGTTTTAATTAACGGATTGGGCTGCAACTTGGAATCGTAAGGTTTTTTAGGACGAAGAAAACGGTTCTGGCAGAGTTAGTTATCCGGGAGATTTAGTCCATTTCAAAAAGCGGCGGTCCAAATGGCGACCTGGTGCGAGAAGTGCATATTTAAGCTGCTCAGTGCATCATGGGCCATAGGCAGGCTTTCACCGTATTCAAGTCATTTGAAGCTGATGTTGAAACTATAACCTACACTTTACTTGTTGAAAAGTTTCAAAAACATTTTGCACCACAGGTCAGTGTCACTTTAGAGTGAATCACATTCTTCAGTCGCAAACAAAAATCTGGAGAATCTTTAGAAGATTACTTAACATTGCTTAAAAATTTGAGTTTAAATTTCCAAGTAGACACCTTCAAAGAATCCATAACTAAAGATCTCTTAATAGGTGGTCAAAATTCTAAAAATCAAAACATCAAAGAAAAACTCATACTCTCTGATGAAAAAGAACTCACTAAGGTCTTTGAATTAGCTCATAGATTACAGATGTCTAAAGAACATCCCAACAAACTCAGCAAAGAACTTAATGCTATCAGTTCTCAATCGAATTACTCTTCAAAAACTAGATGAAGATCACCAGATAAATCTCGTAATTCTCACTCTTATGCGTTTCGCTCAAAAAGAACATCACCCTCATCACAAGAACGTTCACCATCACCAAACAGATTTGGCAGATCTTATTATTCTCCTAAACGCTCATTCCATCGCAATGGCAGTCCTCATCCTCGGTACTCGCCTCATCAAACATCACGTCGCTATGGCAGTCCACATTCCAGCAGAGGCTCATCACCTAGTCATCGCCATCCAACATCAAACTTCTGTGCTAACTGCGGCAACGCTTATCACCAACATCAGTGTCCAGCCAAAAATGTAAGGTGTCGTCGATGCAACTCCATAGGTCATTTTCAAAAAATGTGTTCAGTTGTATATGTCAATAGCGTTCAGTTTAACCGTAATAGTGACTAAGATAATAATGCCAATTTAAGTAATTGTGATAGTGATGCTCATTCTACCCTATTCGTAGGCAATATCAAATCCAAGCCGACTTTATCCAAAAAGTGGTTCGAAACCATTGTGATTATAAATTTAACCATTGTGCTCGAATTGACTCCGGAGCTAAAACTAATATCATGTCTCTAAACTCGTTTAAAAATTTAAAATTAAATCCAAAGTACATCGTGAAATCAAGTGCAAATCTAACAACCCTAGATCAACAAAACGTTGATGATCTAGGTGAGTGTGATATCAACTTGATGTTTAGAAATAAATTTTTTACTGCTGTTTTTCATATTGTCAACTTTGACACGTACACTTCAATTGAGTTAGTATTAGCTGAAGAACTTGGTTTGATTTGCAGAGTAAATTCAGTTCAAACTGTTCAAAAGTCCAAACATAGGCAAATATTAAAAACTTTTAGACACGTTTTCGAAGGCACAGGGTGTGTCAAAGAGAGTAATGTCAAACTTGAAATAGATCCCAAAGTCAAACCTGTTCATGATCCGCTTAGAAAAATTCCAATTCGTACCAGAGGTCCTTAAAAAAAACATCTGAAAGACTTATCTGACATGAACGATATCAAAAAAGTTAATGGCTACACACCCTGGACCAACTCCATCGTAATTGCGCATAGTAAAGATAAGAGTACTCGTTTATGTTTGGATCCCAGAAATCTTAATGGGGCTATGAAACGCCCAGTACGTTGCCCCCAGAGACAAATTTTATTCGTTCGGAATTAAAAGGCTCCAAATTGTTCACAGAATTAGACGTAAAAAACAGATTTTGGAATCTATCTTTAAACAAAGAAAGTTCAGATTTATGTACTTTTAACACTCTTTTTGGAAAATATCAATTTTTAGGGCTACCTTTTGGTATAAATACGGCTATTGATACTTTCTAAGAGTTTATGGTTGAAAAATTCAAGGACATGTCAAATCTCATCATTTATGTTTACAATATTTTAATTCGTGCAAAATCGACGAAAGAATATGATGAGACCCGCATTGCTGTCCTAAAAAGAGCTGATGAACTTGGTCTTCGACTCAACCTGCCTAAACGAAATTTTTTTCAAACGTCTATTAATTTTTTAGGAGAAATCTATTCAGAAAACAAAATATCAATTGATCCTGATCGAGTTGAAGCCATTCTAAAGATGAAACCCCCCACCAACGTCACAGAGTTACAAAGATTTTTAGAAATAGCCGACTATCTCAGATCCTTTACACCAAATCTATCTGAACACACGACCAACATGCGCAAACTCTTAAAGAAAGACAATCTTTGGGAGTGGACTCAACCTTATCAAGTAGAATTTGAAATTCTTAAGAAATTAATTACAGATGCTCCAGTATTAACAAATTATGATGTCAATATGCCTCTCAAATTATCAGTAGATGCTTCAAAAGAAGCGTTAGGGGCAGTAATTACTTAACAAAATAAATTCATTGCCTTTGCAAGTTTAACTTTAACTGAATCTCAAAAAATATGGGGTCAAAGGAGGGGTGGCGATTTGGGCCATTTCCGGCCCCACCTAATCCGGGACTTTTTTTGCTGTGATTCGTTACGTATAAGTGTCAAGAGAAAGCATGCCAAGTTTCAGGCCGATCGGCCCAATATTCGGGGGGCAGGGGCCCCCCGAATTTTTAAGCGCAAAATCGGTTTTAATTTTGTAGCGCCGTCAATTTCGCTCGTATACAGATNCCCCCTTAATTTTGCCCCAGTGCCAATTTTGACGGCGGAAATGGAAAGAACGCAAAATTTTACCCCTGGCACCCAATTTTTATCTGTATACGAGCGAAATTGACGGCGCTACAAAATTAAAACCGATTTTGCGCTTAAAAATTCGGGGGGCCCCTGCCCCCCGAATATTGGGCCGATCGGCCTGAAACTTGGCATGCTTTCTCTTGACACTTATACGTAACGAATCACAGCAAAAAAAGTCCCGGATTAGGTGGGGCCGGAAATGGCCCAAATCGCCACCCCTCCTTGAAAAAGAACTTTTAGCCATCTACTTCGGCTGTACTAAATTTCATCAATATCTCCTCGGTCAGAAAATACCAACAGAGACTGACCATCAGCCACTCGAAACCTTATTTAGGAAACAGTTGAAAGATGTGCCAGTACGGTTTCAAAGGATAATGTTGAAATTGCAAAGGTATGATCTAGATGTAAAATGGGTGCCAGGTAAAACATTAGTCATTGCTGATGCTCTCAGTAGAGCTGCATTAAATTAACAGTTAAATAACTCTGAAGAACTAGAATCTGAAACAAATTGTCAAATAACTTCTATTGACTATCATCTCTTATTATCTTTTACTGATAAGAAATTAAAAGAATTTGAGACTGAAGCCATGAAAGACGAAATTCTTAATATTTAAAAAAACTATTTCTAATCTGGTTGGCCCCCAACCAAAAACATTTACATATTTTAGCTAAGCCCTTTTTCAAAAGTCGTCATCAAATTTTTGTGAAAGATAATTTAGTTTTCAAGTTAGGTAGTGTCATAGTTCCTGAATCCTTGCAACATCAGACCTTGAAAACTATACATGAAGGTCATCTACGATTTTTTTCAGCTTATCGCCGAGCCAAAAATATTGTTTACTGGCCTTCCATGAAAACAGATCTAAAAAATCTTTCGGAAAGTTGTGAAACTTGTGATAAATACTCCAATGCCAATGAAAAACAACCAATCACACCTCGTGAAATTCCCCTCATTCCCTGGAACAAGGCAAGTTGTGATCTCTTTGAACTAAACAATGAAAAGTTTTTGTTGGTAGTCGACTATTTTTCAGAATTTCCAGAGCTTGCCTCTTTGAAAAAAACTTCTAAAGACAAATATATTATCAATGCTCTGAAATCAATTTTTTCAAGATTTGGAATACCTAAAACTCTCGTAACAGACAATGGTCTACCTTTCAACTTGGAATCTTTTTCAAACTTTTTAGACTCATGGGATATTGATCATCGCACCTCATCTCCTCGCTACCCTCGTTCCAACGGTATGGTTGAACGTACCATTTAAACTATCAAAAATTTAATCCGTAAATGTCTTAGTAGTGGGGAGAACTTTTACCTAGCACTACTAAACTTTCGCAATACACCTAAAACTGAAGCTCCATCACCTTATGAATTGTAGATGTCCCGAAATCTTATGACAAAGTTGCTTACATCTGAAAAATAATTGAAACCAAAAACAATCGACTCCAAAGAGTATGTTCAAACCTTGAAAAAAAGATCTCAGTCGATGATTAAATCATCATCTAGTCTCAAAAAAACTTAAACCCCTTAACATTAATGATAACATATTTTTTAAGAAAACGCCAGATGATCATTGGGTGCCAGGCACCATCATTGGCAAATGTATAGAGCCAGATTCGTATTTGATTCAGTCTACAAATGGTAAGGTTTACAGACGCACTCGGTACCATTTAAAAGCTCACAACAAGAATGTTCGCTTCAGCTTTGACAATCTAGATGATAAACATGAAGCAGTGTACAACAAGCAACACTTTCTGCTGATCATCAACGTGCTGAACATAAATTATCTTTTCGGATCGTCCCTACTCCAAAACCAAAAAACTCTGTCAAAACTTCAAGTGGCAGTCATTATTCAAGTGGCAAATCTCCCCCAGTTGATTTGAGAAGAAATTCTGATTCTGATGATGAATACAGTACGCCCCAAATTGTTCCTACTCCTCATATTTTCAGACCCAGGTAGAGGTCTAAATTTAACTCCTATAGACCCCAGAAATCGACCAATAAAACGTCCAGCCAGATATTACGATTCATAAACAAAGGGCACAAGTTTCTCCCCCCCCCCCAAAAAAAAAAATTCTTAATTACTAATTTTATGAATTATTATCTGTGATGATCAATCAAATTTATTCATATTTCAGGTTCTGATGTTATTGTTAGTGCTGAGTTAAAAATCTAGTATATGTCTGTTTCCATCGCATCTCTTATCGTTTTTCAAAAAAAAAGGAAAAAAAGGAGATGTTTGGATCTGGAGAGTAGTTTCAGTCTGTCCAGTGTGGCAGCACTTATATGGCCCATCGAGAGGGATTGTCTCTCGAGAAAGAAGCAATAGAGATTCATCATAGCGCTCATGCAACCCGGTCGTTATTTTGTTCCCTGTACATCACACTCAACAAGTACGTGACTTTTGGACAACCCTGTATGGTAGATTGAAATAATACTTGACTGCACCGTCTTCGCACCAGTCTTCGAATACACTATATTGTGTGCATGATAAATTCCTTTACGGCACATGTAAAAAGTTATCATGCTAACTGATTTTCAATTGTATTTTTAGCCTTTTGGAGGAAATTTGGCTGGCATTATTAAATCAATTGTAATTCGTATTTACAAGAAATAAAGACCATATTTTGGATCATTGGTGCAATTTTACATAAACATCTCGAAAGAATAGGTCCTGGTCAATAGCTTATGCACCTGAAATTACTCATTTTTTGTCAGTTCCCATTGTTTAAAAATTCAAAATCAACACCGTACAGTAAATTGATATTCTTGCCTTAGCTTGCAATCTGCTGACCAAAGCTGCTTGATGTTGCTGGGCCTGTTTGTAAGTGTCTAATCTTCTTTTATACGTGGCTGATTCCTCTTCTAGCTGCCGCCTCAGCTGTTGATTTTGGTGGTGGAGTGGTTCCCGTTCTTCTTCCATTTTTCCTCCACTACCTGAGCTACCACTTACCTGCATACAAGCACAGATAAACACACTCCGATCATTTTATCTCGAAATGCATAGGGAAAACAAAGTGGATTATAGCACACACATGTAGTTGTAATGAGTATAGCTATATCTCCAGTGGCAGTACTTTAATCCCAAGTAGCAAAGGTTGCAACAATTTGTAACAAAATTGTTTGATTCTTGCAACTGATAGATTGATGTGCAGATTGCCTACTCTCTCCCCCGGAGAAGTTATAATTGTTGGAACTAGTTGCGATTAAGTTGAAACATATTTCAACTTCAAAATATTGCTGGTTGCCTATCTTTAGATTTTAAACAACTTTGGTTAAGCAATTTTGTAATCTCAGCAGGTTGCAAACTTTGTCTTCCAATCAGATCGCCTAAAATCGGCACTTATCGACCAAAAGTTGACCGAAAGTTGCAACTTTGTTGCAACAAATACCAAAATTGTTTCAACTTGTTGCAACTTTTACATTAAAAAATGCTACTTGAGATATAATACAGTTTCGAGCCTGAGCTTCTAGCGCCTCCCACTAGAAAAAACTCCCATTGTAAATTTATTTAAACGTTTCATGGATGATTCTCACACCGACACCGTTTCAAGGACGAGTGAACTTATGATTCTCCAAGAAATTTTGGCTGTTGTAACTTACAAGAGTTCCAAGTCTCTTTGGAGTGTGTTCTGGATTAATAAGTGACAATGTGTATCTTCACAGGTTTTAACATAATCCTAAGGCATTAACCATTGATTTACAAAAAAACTCACCTTCAAATAGTGACAAAAAAGTAAAAACTCATGAAAATGGCTAAATATTGAGCTAACGTCAATGTCTGTTATCACTGTGGCAGATGTAAACAATCGCCCATTGACCACAGTCTTCCTTAAAATGGGGCTCATCCCGTCGGTTCTTAATTATCTAGTGCAGGTTTTAACCATTTAAACGTCCGATGAATCTTACTCTGTAGTATAAAATCATAAGGGTGCCGTGTCTCGCTAAGAATGTCACGCTGAGGGTGCAACGCTAATCATGTCACAAACCGGTTTCTCCTTCACTCCCCGCTCCCCTCCCGCCGAGCACGCTCACATGCTTCCCGCCGTCTCCAAACCGGGTTTCCCCTAACTCTTAATAATCATTTAACGATCTCACGATATCCGCACATCAGAGGCTCTTCGCGCCTCTGGGGGATTGGACCGCGCAGCGGCCAGGGGGCGCACCCCTTAGTACATTGTAAATGATGAAAAGACCAGGTTTGTCACGCGATGGGACGTAAAGAGTGTGCCGGATCCGGTCCCGCGTAAAAGTGACCGTTTCGAATGGGTCAGTTCCAAAATAGCTTTTTTTGAGTTTGAGAGGTCATTTCAAGCTTTCTTAGTAGCGCCATCGTTCTTTTCGTGAAAGCAATTGTAATCAGTTATCAACTAGGATGGAGGCCAGACTGAATAGGGAAGAATTGAAACAGAAGCTGAGCCGTGGGCAAGAAGTTGCGTGCGTTGGCGCGGGGGGCGAGAGTGCGCGGCGAGCGGAATTTCCGTACTACTGCGCTGATTGGCCGAGCGAGAGTTGCGGACGAACGATGTATGAAAAAGTACCTACGTGGAGGTGGTCCGGCAGCAACATACCCGTCGCTAGTCTCTGGAAGACAATACGAGTAGAAAATAGTAGTTGCGTACGTTGCCAGCGAGCGCGCTGCGAGCTCTTCTGTTTCAATTAATTAGCATTGAGTTGGGCCTCTGACCCAAAGACATAAAGACGGAACGCTAAAAGCAAAAAATGAAGCTTCTTTTCAACCACCCCTACTATTGGCTAGAGGATTGGCGGCGAAATCGGGGCAAGTTTGAAATGCAAATGTAGGGCGGGAACTAAATAAAATTGCGGAAACAAAGTATTCTAGGTTAATTTTTGCCCAAATTCACTTACCCACTCATGTTTTTTTAACTTTAGGTTCGTTTTGGTCCGTCGTCGACCGATAAATTTCATTTGGGAGTAACGGTCATCTAGGACTGTAACGGCCTGTTTGAACCGGCAGAACCACCATGAGCAGAAGAAAAACTAACTCAATCTGAAATTACTGCCTTTTACCGAGGAAAAGTAAGTGTATTATAAAAAGTCGCAGTCCCAACTTTCTTAATATACTTATTCGTTTTAGGCATTTAAAATACGTTTCGAGGAAGAAATGTGGTAAAATCAAGAGGACAAGTTCAAATCAAATTTCCGTTTGCCGCCACGGATTCCCGCGCTCATTTACACACTCACACAAGCACCCAGCGCCAAACCAGGCTTCACTTTTTCCCCCTGCTTTTAGATACGAGCACTCCATTTTTATGTCTTTGCTCTGACCTTCCATACTCTTTGCTTTCGCCATCTCCTGATGTAATCTCTCCTATCTCCTGGCTTCCAGTAGTGTCTCTCGTAAGTTTTCTTTTCTGTCTTTTTATTATTATTTAACTTCCTACTGATTCCCAGTCGTGTTACGCAGTCTTTCTTTCCTACTGGAATGCCAGTAACGGTTTACAACTTAGCGTTTTATGTAAAAGCTCTTCTAGTTTCTTAAATTTAAAGTAGTAAAGTTTCAGACAGTAAAGGTCATCAAGCTATAGTTTTTCTTCGTATTATTCAGTCTTTCTTTATTCTCTCGATGAAAGTTAAAATTTCTCATGTAATTCTCCATTCAATTAAATTAAATTTTCTCGTGAGTTTCTTTTTTGTCATCTTCTTTAGTAATCAAAATTCATGCCTTTCTCTTTTCTTGGCAACCCAGACTTGCTCTGAAGTCGGCTCCGCGCAGCCGGGTATTCCAAATTCTTCGTCAACAACATTCAATTAGGGAACCCGGCCTTGTTCTCAAGGCGGCCCTGCGAGGCCTGGTAACCTTTCTTAAAGTAAAAATCCATACAGTCCACTCCTCAAAGTCTTTAACATTTTTTGTCTTCATTTTTATTATATTTTTGGGCTTTTGCCCGAACATGGTGTACAGATACTTGAGTAAGAACGTTTCTTTGAAGGCGAAATCAAGATTTTCATTCCTGAAATGGAATTGACTTCGCCAAAGTTGTCAAATTATACAAAAAAGCTAAAAATGCTCTTCTTGCACAATGGGCCTGTTGTATGCAAGAGATACAGCCGCGCGAATAGACTTTTCTAAGGTTAAAGGACACGAAAATTACGATGGTCACATTAAAAAAGTATGAAATACACTCCTTACTGCGCAATTTGCGTTGTTAGGAACGCGCTTTTTCAAATTTCCCACGTCTGGGGGCAGTTTTCTAATCACCGGAAACGAGCAAACGGCGGGCTCGGTGATTTCCGGAAGATGCCGAGTCGTTGTTGTTGTTGTCATTTTTTTCTTCAGCTTGTTTACAAACCCATCGTGATCTCTTATAGTGGTCCATATACGCTTTATGCGCTAACCAAATCGATCAACTTTTAAATATCCAACGCAATCCTCCTACATTTCATTTCACGATATCACGAGCTCCGATTTTTGGGTCATGTTGTCAGTTTTAGTTGACCGGAAATAGCCGCGAGTTGCCGTTGTTTCCGGAACAACTGCAACCGCTGCCGAAAGTTTCCGTTAGAAAACTGCCCCCAGACGCGGGAAATTTGAAAAAGCGCGTTCCTAACAACGCAAATTGCGCAGTAAGGACTGTATTTCAGACTTTTTCAATGTGACCATCGTAATTTTCGTGTCATTTAACCTCTGAAAAGTCTATTCGCACGGCTGTATCTCTTGCATGCAACAGGCCCATTTGGCAACTTTCCCGGGCAACTTAACTGGGAACAATCTACACAGGGCCTAGTACCAAAATGGGTACACCATAATAATTCCAACTTGCCCTATTTCTATCTCAATGCGAGGAGGGTACCTACACGCCGAAAAATACTTCCCATCAGCCGGTAATAAATCAATATTAACTCATTTTGGGAAGGACAAAACGTTTGTAACGGATGCAGAACTTTCAACAATCTCGCCTTCTTGAAGGCGCAATTAGATTAGAAGGTCGCCTTCACATTTACCAAAATTTCCCTAAAAAGAGGTGACATAAAAAATTTAGGAGGCGGATGGAGGGATTGCTCCCCGCAAATGACGCCCTTCTTCCATTTTCACGATGATCAAAAATGTTTGTCATGCCCGATTCAAAGCGACGGAAACCGATGCTTAATATTTCTCAAAAATAGAAGTTATCTAATATGATTTTCTTATGTCTCATGGAGAATATTCACTAAAAAACATTACAAGTAAGTACAAATGTACAAATGTGCATTGGAAATTTAAGACTGCAAAATTTCCCGAACGAGGTGATCAGGATTAATTTTTCCTGATTTCATCAAGGACAAAACTCATGGTCACGGTTGAATTCTGATTTTCGGCGTGGAAAGTAAAAACGGCTGCATACCTCACGCGGCCTAGAAGAGGTTTGTCGGGTGAAAGAGAGAGGTCGCCTGGAAGCACCGTCTTTCCTTAGCTGCAACTGAAAAATAAAATTAAATAAAATAAATGCATGAAGGAATAAATTAAATAAAAAACAAAAGACACCGTGCATGCCATTAAAATTGTACGCTGGAAAAAATTATAGTTCGCATACCTACTGATGACAGCATTATCTGAACGATTTTGGGTTTTAATTCAATACGTACTTATGGAGAATCTTGCACCAAATGAATGATACTTCGTGAGGCGTCTAATCCAATGTCAACCAAATACACATTATGTAGATTGTCGTAAAAAATACCAAAAAGAAGAAGAAGAAAGAAACAACAACAACAACAACAACAACAACAACAACAACAAAAAGAAAAGTTTAGATCCAAACATTATCGGTGGCTGAAGCGTGAAACCATGTACTTCCATTGCGGCGTTTAAGAATTTCCGCCCTGTTCCAGTTTTCGAGGAGAAACAAGCCAACTTTCGGTAGGTACAGCTTACAATTTTTACAGAATACTCTGCTAGCGAAGAGGAAGAATAAAGGAAGTTTTCAAGAAAATAAGTTAGACTAGACTAGTTTCCCAAGGAAACAATTAAGTACAGTTCCGCAGTTGCGCCATCGATATATTATGTGCCTTCTCACTATTGACATTGGAGATAAAAAAAAAAAAAAAAAAAAAAAAAAAANAAAAAAAAAAAAAAAAAAAAACAGTTAGTAGTGAGGACGAGTCTCACCGGCCCCGAGATCGATTTTATCAAGAACTTTACATATTACAAACGGACATACATGAAACGTACACAACCACCGCCCTTGCGCTCCAAGCGGGGGAAAATGGGAAAAACTAAAAATTCCCTACAAGTAACCTCCCCTGGGTTGGTGAATTTTTACAAAAGAATATAAGTAAAATTACAATAAATTTTACAAATTCCCCACAAGTACTTCAACACCTCCCTTAGTTTGGTGAATTTTTGCTAAAGAATATGAGTAAAATTACAATAAATTTTACAACAAGTGCTTCAAAAAACAAAATTACAATAAATTTTGCAACAAGTACTTTAAAAAACAAAATTACAGTAAATTTTAAAACAATTACTCAAAAGCACCTCCCCTCAATTTTTGAGAAAAAAAAATTATTACCTGACAAAACAGGGAGTCCATGGTACTTGTGTGAATACATATGAGGGGGTAAAAACTCTAAATACTAGTTCAAAATTCCTGGTTGGAGCCCAATTCTTTTGGCAAAGGAATGAGTTTTAGTCCCGCTGAGAGACTTTGTGAACAAGTCAGCTGAATTGTTCTCACTTGCTACATATTCCAATTGGATCGTATTGTCCGTGGTGAGCTCCTTCACACATAGGAATTTAATTGAAAAATGTTTGCTCTTGTCAGCAATCGTCTCTTTGCTGGCTATGTCAATTGCGCCCTGATTATCGCATTGTACAGTGAAAGGTTTCGGGATGAGATGCGAATGGTTCAAATCTTCCAACAACTGGCTCGACCAGACCAGTTCGCAGCAGCATTCATACAGGGTGTACCATAAGTCCGTCCCACCCCTGCTAACTTTTGAACGAATTGAGTTAGGGTAATGAAACTTTGGGAATGTTCCTATCTCAAAGGGGACCATCTTTTGGGGGGTCAAAATTTTGGTCCCCCCTCAGGGGGGGCGCGGGGGGCCCCCAACTTTTTTTTTCAAATAGCAACCCCTATCTTGTGATATATCATTCGAAAGAACATAAAAAACTAAGAATTTTGGCGCAAACCGCAGATCAATATCTTAATTTTTGACCGAGTTATGATAGGTCAAAGGTCAAATTTGACCTATTTTCAAAAAATCATAACTCCGGTTCAAATTATCGTAAAGAAAAAATAAAACGGAAAAATTTACCAAATTGTGTCCGCTTTTAAGTAAAAATTGCAGAAATCACTTCGCTGTAATTTTAAGGGGGGGCTCGGACCCCCAAATACGTTAATTCAAAGGTCATTCAATTTTCCCGCGAAAAAAGGCAATTTCCCCTAGATTTGCCTCCACATTATCTCAGTAAGGTCAAAATTAGTTCAACATTACGTTGGCAAGTCCCCAAATTTCGGGAAAAGTTAAAAAAAAACGAAATTTAAACGGTCAAATTTAATCACCTTAAATTTCGTTTTTTTAAACTTTTCCCGAAATTTGAGGATTTGCCAACGTAATGTTGAACTGATTTTGACCTTACTGAGATAATGTGGAGGCAAATCTAGGGGAAATTGGCTTATTCCGCGGGAAAATTGAATAACCTTTGAATTGACGTATTTGAGGGTCCGAAACCCCCCTTAAAATTAGTTTGAAGTAATTTCTGTGATTTTTACTTGAAAGTGCTTACAATTTGGTAAATTTTCCCGTTTCTTTTTTTTCATTACGATAATTTGACCCGGAGTTATGATTTTTTGAAAATAGGTCAAATTTGAGCTTTGACCTATCATAACTCGGTCAAAAGTTAAGATATTGATCTGCGATTTGCGCCATAATTCTTAGTTTTTTATGCTCTTTTGAATGAGGTATCACAAGATAGGGGTTGCTATTTGAAAAAAAAAAGTTGGGGTCCGTAGCCCCTCCCCACGGGGGGCACGAAAATTTTGGGGGGCCCCAAAAGTAGCTAACATTGATCGATGAACATCCCCAAAGTTTCGTTTCAAAATATTAATTAGGTAAAATTTTAGAGGGGGTGGAAGGGACTTTTGGGACACCCTGTAGAGTGTGCGTCCAAAGTAACTCGGGAAGGAGGTGCGTCAATACCCCAGACCATAGACAGTCCTCCCTGCAGTTTTTTATTATTGTTTGTTGTTTGTCTATATTTATATATATATATACTATATGTGTGTGTGTGTTTGAGGGTGTGAGGGTGTGTGTGTGAGGGTGAGAGGGTGTGTGTGTGTGTTACTATAGCGAAAACAAATCTTCTAACACTTCACTTTCATGTAAATCTGTTCGTACTGCGCTTTTTCCTTCTACAAGAGCAGTGTTCGAAACTCACAGGCGGCAACGCGCCAAATGCACCTAATAAAGCGGCCATGGCGCCTAAAAATTGAAGGCTCTACCCCAACGTGGTCCCTAAAAATGCCCCCCCCCCCCCAAGAAAAGAGAAAATCGTAATTTTTCAGAATAAAGATTTTTCGAAATATCCCCCTAGTTACAGTTATACTAATTCTGTTACTAAAACATCTTGCGCCTAACTTTTTACCAAATGCACCGTGATATATTGGCAAAAAGTCAATCCAGCCGCTAAAAAATCTTCAATGGCCCCCAAAAGTCAAGCTTGATACGCCACATGGCTCCTAAATCTCAAATATGAGTTTTGAACACTGATAGGTAAAGAAAAAAAAGGAATTTTTATTGGATCGTCCATGACAACGAAAGGGTGACGTTGAAAGGGTAACGAGAACCGTACACGAAACCCTGCAAACGAGAGGTTAAATCCAATAAACGTAGCTACGCACTAAATGACGCGATGAACGGGTGGTAAATTCAATTAATAGGAATAAATTGCAACCGAGAACGGAGTCCGACTGCAGCCTGCAATCTCGAATTGGCTCGGCACGAATTCCCGTCATAGGCTCATACTGCCGTACTGAGGAAGAATGTCATTTGACCATTCGAGAGTTGCCAAGTTTCTCCCCATAAAACATATATTTTTTTAGGAAAGTAATGCATATTTTTCCTTGAACTTTTCCGATACTTAAGATTAAATTGGGAACAAAGCTGTATGAAGAAAAGGAAGAAAAAGATGAAGAATCTTCCCAGTGAATTCGTTGGTTTAAAAAGGAAATATGGCAACGCCTGAAGGCTCATACGGCGTTTTTCTTAAGCACGGCAGCATAGGGGAGGATTTGGGCGGCGGCGGGCTGAGTTGCGTGACCGAATAAATTGAAAAACTAAAGGTAGGAAAGCGTTAGAAAAAAAAAAACTGGAAAAAGAAAGAACTCCGTTTGATTCGTCTCCGACTTTGCAGATCTTCGCAATAACCAAGGTGTCGAACGCTACACGACCTGTACGATGTTTACTGAAAAAAAAGTTCGGTGATTTTTACCGAACCCTTCGGTATACGGTTGTTCGGTGGCACAAACCTAAGTATTAGGTTTTGTGAACCCAACGGCACTACGGCGCTTGGAACACACGACCAATCAAGTTCGGTAAGGTTTCACCGAACTTTTCAGGTCATGGAAACCGATCATTCGGTAATTCGCACTGGACTTTCAGTATGTACTCAGAGAAAGTCGGAAACGTTTGGTTGGCGTCGTATTATTGTATGTTTATCCATAAGTATGTTCAAAGACGTTTTTCTTATTCTTGCCTTTAAGGCCTTATTAATTTTTGAAATCCAAGTTTATATTTTTGCCGCGAGTAAATTTTCCTTCAAACATTTTTATCATCTATTTTACTTTTCAAATTCCTTTAGCATCTGCGACTTAAAGTCAAAAGAATGCTGCTCAATTTAGATGAGACCAGGAAGTAATTATAAAAAAGATTCTATTGCATTTTGCTATATTTTAGAAATCATCACTTCCTTACTGGCTTCAGCTTGAGCCGAAGAGTTTTTCACTTACTCTAAACTCTTAAAAAAAGGTTTAAATCAAAAAGTAATATGTTCCCAAAACGTTGGGTTATTAATTTTTCATTAATTTATATTATTTATTTAACTTATTTCATTTTATTTATTTTAATAGGTAACTATTTATCCGTCCATATTTTCTTTTCTTTTTTTCATGTGTTGTTCATACTCCTTTCTTTCAAAAACTTGATCTGCTTTATATTATGTTTGTATCCTTCGTTGTGAGGTGAATAATGTACAGAATTGCAAGAATATCATTCCTTCCAATCGCATTGAACCAGATCTGGGGACATTAATTAGTGCTAAATAAGCCAAGACCCCTACGCGAGCGTCCGTGGCTGGGTGGCAATGACACTCGGGCGATCACCGAAGCTCAGCACGTCGGGCGTGGTTAGTGCTTCGATGGGTGACCGCTTGGGAACCCGGGCGCAGCAATTGTTAGGTACTCGGAAGCACTTCTCT